TCCTCACATTGGTCTTTTACACAGAGGAACTGAAAAGTTAATTGAGTATAAAACTTACAATCAAGTAACTATAACTTGCCTTATTCTCTTCAAATTAGGCTTTGCCATATTTCGACAGACTTGATTACGTTACCATGTTGTGTAGTGAACAATGTTATTCGCTTGCAATAGAAAATCTTCTCAATATTGAGGTTCCACCACGTGCCAAATTTATTCGAAGTTAGTGCGTGTTTTCAAATCTTTTAATAATGTCCCTCATAAACTTTTGTTCGCTTTCTTTATGCTATTTTAAATTTATTTGGTTAACATGTATTGAAGCCAGGGCTTGACTCAAAAATTGTATATGCGTATTGAGGGACTGTTCGGAGTTTACAATATTTCAATTCTCCTCTAGGCCTAATCACGCTTGAAATTCACCTCCCTCCAGGAGCAGGGATCAGGTATAGACTGTAGCTTATCCTCGATGGTTTTTACTTCTATAGTTTTATTAAGCCAAGTAAAAGGTTTAGCGAAAAATCTATACCTTCAATCGAGTAATTACTAACCAAGATTAGAGTTGTTCTAGGCATCTCTGTTTCGAAGTGCCTATAAAGCCTTATTTTTCCACCGCATTTCATTTCGCCTTGTATCCCATAAAGTTTTTTATCGATGATTGGATTCTATTTCGTCCCCGATTGCCTCTTCAGTATGAAATGTGAATCTAAGACGTCATGCTTGTCATACGACAGGATTTGAATAATATAATTTAAAAAATTTACATTATGTCCCCCTATTTATTTTTTATCTAATTGTTCACTAATTCTGGAGAGATGTTACTTGAAAATTCACTTATATCTAATTATGTTTTTCGTCAAAATGCAGTTGGAAAATTATTTTGACTGATGTTAACATATCACATGTCATATATAAGAAAACGAATGTAGCCACAAAATTTCTCATATTTTGTGATCGGCAATCATACTAGGAATTTTTTTATAAAATATGAATTATACAGATCATATTATAGTGTGACCAGCACTTACTCCCTTGATTAGTAAATACACAAATGTTCTGGTTGTTCTTCAATGAGATTAGATATCTCTTCACAATAGCTCTGACAAATAATGCAAAGCTAGTACATTCATGCTAACATTAGCTCATCTCAGAATCCAGTAAAATCAACCTTATCATATTTAATAAAATAATATGCGCCGGACTAACATTTACTGTCCTTTAAACAATGATAGGACGAAATGAGAAGCCAAAGAACTTGGTTGTTGAAATTCACCTTAATAATAATCATTTTCCCCTTTACCAAAATATTCTTCTCCTCTTTGGAAAGTGGTTCATATTTACATTTGCATTTATAATCGTAGGGGCCATTGACCCCTGGTACTAAATTTTTGCCTTCGCGGTTTGAACGTTTAGCTCCAACCTGTTTGCATAAGATACCTTGTTTGTCTCTATTGCTTTATATCAATAAATTCATTATTATCCGATCATATGCTGGAGCCTTTTCGTAAGATAAATTATGTGGGTCATTGAGGCTCACTTTAGCTAGATACGCTAACTTTTGATATGCCTTTCAGGTCCAAATAATTATTCTCAGTGAACTAACCTTGGTTTCTTAAATGATCAGAGCCATAGCAAGCATATATTATACGATAATTTAAATGAGCTTTCATAATTTCATAAACCGCGAAAATTTTGACAAATTTTTCTTATCCATCAAATAGATGGATATTTAATTATTATTTTATGGTTAATACTCTCAATCTTTAATATTTTTTTTTCCTCATTAGCCCTATTTGCTGAGTTGACGAGGGTCCAAAATCATTGTATGGCTATAGGAACACATATTTTGGACACTGGAGCAATCACGCCATTCTTTTGGCTTTTTGAGGAAAGAGAAAAGATGTTTGAATTTGTTGAGCGTGTCTGTGGGGCTAGAATGCATGCAAATTACATTCGTCCAGGTGGAGTGTCTCAGGATATGCCTCTGGGCCTGATGGATGATATATATGACTTCTGTTTAAAATTCCCTCAACGAATAGACGAAGTGAGTTTACATTTTATACTCTTTATTTGCTTTAGTTGAAAAAAATTTACCTTTTGCAGATAAAGTTAATGCATCCACAAGATATGCTTATACTCCTTAAAGTTAATTCTCAGATCTTTTTAGTAAATTCACAATAGATAGACCATAGATAACAGTGATATTGGACAACTGATAATATTGCTCTTATTCTAGAACTACTAAACTAATTTGTCCTATTTAAAAGATTCAAGGACAAGAAATCAAATGGCTTTTACGCTTTGATTATTTTCTTTTTTAACTTTATTTTTAGCAAGGATGACTAAATATGTTATTATAACTTATCAAGTAGGCTTTTTATTGAACCGTTTGTGCACCTTATTGATTTTTACGTAGAATTCCTAAATATGTACTAATGCATTTATTTGGGAGCTACTCCCACTCAATATTTTAACAGTGAATATTTATAGAAGTTGTTTGACCTTGTTTTCGCAACTCGGTCATATTGGTAGGAAAACTTAGAGGAACGCACCTTGTCCGGAGTCCAATTTATGCATCATTATTTCCAGAGTAGGACCGTAGACGCGATGCATTCCCAGACGTTTCGCCGGCATCGTAAGTGAGTCTCGCTATTCGTTGTCTCGTCTTGTCTATTTGACGAGTCGTAATATGGTGCTACGAATGGCAAGATTCACTGACGATGCAACGAGAGGAGACTGCGACCACACAAAAGGCCACACCGTCTTGGTTTTCATACATTCGAGTGAATATTTATATTTGTCTGCATAAGCTGTCATTAAAAAGAACGTTAGTTGTATTTTTTGTTGAGTCATACGTCTAAAAAAGGTTACTTTACTTTCCAAATTAACTATATTTTCAAAGCGTTTATCATTACTAGTTTATTGGAAGCGAATCGTAACACCAAACTTAACTGTAGTTCACTTTTGCTCTACGGAATTGTTTGTCTCGCATTTCTTTCCATTCCTTACAATTAACTTGTCATTTTGAAAGTATACTATGTACTGTTACCTTAATATAAAATAGTGTATATAGTTGGCAATGTCTTATCAAATATAGGTTGTCCCCGTCAGCATTGGATAAAATTTTCCATTTATATTTTAAATTGTGTAAGGCTATTCGTTCATTTATGCGTCCAGCTTTAGAAGGTATCACTCTGAGGCAGATACCCTATTTTTTAAATCCTTTTATTTCCTTTACCATCAATATTCTCATGATATATTTTCACTTTATTTCTTTTCATTTTATTCATTAAAGGTAGACGATGCTATAACTAACAATCCAGTTTGGATAGGCAGGACTAAAGATGTTGGTGTAGTTTCGGCTGAGGACGCCATTGATCTAGGCTTTTCTGGTGTTATGCTACGCGGTTCTGGTATTCAGTGGGATTTACGTAAGACCCAGCCATACGATGCTTATGCTGAAGTAGAGTTTGATGTACCGATCGGAAAAAATGGCGATAACTACGATAGGTATCACTATATTTACACCATATTTGTGATATTTTAAAAAGTATGTATAGGAGGAAAGTCGCCTCTACATCAATCACAGGAATATCGTATTCGTGTTTTTGCAAATTCTACACCTGCACATTTTAGTTCAAAACTAGCATTTCTTATAGTAGCTTTGTTCACTATTTCGTTTAGAGTGATGAAAGAATGGTAGTTGAATTTTCCAACAATTATATGGGTAGGCCTTTCTTTCCCAAAATTTATTCTCATTTAAGTTGGACTGCCTAAAGTGAAATCACTGAACCAGACAGGTAAAGGAAGGATCCTACGTAGCAAGTGTGAGAACCTGATGGGACCTGAAGAAAGAGGGTTGAGCACTAAACTGCATCCTTGGATCAGAACTCCCACAACATTAGGGAGATGAAGGAACCAGCGGGAAATGAGAATGGGTTTCACTAAATCCGCTTAAAGGGGCACTCCTCAATCAGGTGGATAAGTTACTACACCAGGACAGAATGAGGGACACTACAATTGTTTAGCAGACAATTTGTCAAAGGATTGACTTCACTTGTCTCTTTGACGTGTAGCTTGGTGCCAAGACTGGCAAGGCTCATGACAATGCCTGCGAATCGTTTGGAAATAGGCCAAGTCTAAGGTCCGATTCTGTAAATTATCATGCACACTGGAGTCCGGATAAGGTGCGCTTTAACTCCTGACAATATGATCAAGTTGCTAAAATAGGGTCATACAACGAATGGAGACCGCGACAAAACTAAAAGTCACATCTTGGTCTTCATACCTTTGATTAAACCAAACTAACGTTTGTTGCAAACAAATATTTTCTTTGACGGATTTCCATTTTATTAGGCTCTCTTTTATATCATGGTTTTTTTAATGTATTTGTTTATTACTGAGAGCCTAACTAACTAGTGTTTTTGTTATTGTCCATGTTTAATAGGATTTATTATCATACTTTGGTGATCTATTTCTTATAGATATCTTATTCGCATGGAGGAAATGCGTCAGTCTATAAATATTATCATTCAATGCATGAACAAAATGCCTGCAGGCGAAGTAAAGCTCGATGATGCCAAAATAAGTCCGCCCTCTAGAGCAGAGATGAAGGAGTCGATGGAAGCTTTGATTCACCATTTTAAACTCTTTACAGAAGGATACTTGGTGAGATTTGTAACTTTCCATTTCAGAGCGTTAATAGCTTTCCCTGATATTTATCTTAACTAAAGCTTTCATTCCATATAAAAGTTCATAATGAAGAGGTTTGGAAGTCGATCTCAGCCGAAGGCCATAGCTGATTCCCGTTGTACTGCAGCAGTTTGGCTTTAATACAACGTTCAGGTTGACGCAGTCGAGGAGACCTCCTTTTTCTTTTCGGGTGAAAAAGGCTAGGCTTTTGTCCATCATATGTTGAACATCATCAGAACTGGAACTCCTTCTTGATAATATATCAAGTTAACATTAGATCAAAAAGATTCATGTTTTAACCTTAACTTCGTATTAAAGCCAAATAGCTTCAGTAAGACGGGAATCAGCCGTCATTTTCTGGTGAGGTCGACCTTCAAATATCTTCATACACTTTCATAAGAATTTAAAGTCTCCTCAACAATGGTATCATCTACTTTCCGATTTTGCGTTCACTTAAGGTCATCTATATCAAAGGCATAATCTATTTCTGTGAAAAAGTCTATAAGCTGCCTTATTAGGTAATGCCAACTAAATAATCCTTTTTAATTGTATTTTAATTCAATGCAATCTGAACTTTTCGATAATTATTTGTTTATATTGACTATTGGAATCTCATTTATAATGTTATATGTACTGAAGCAAATTGGATTGATGTCATCTATGTTCTATACACTAAGTAATTTAGAGTATCTTGATTAGAATTTTTTTACTATTAATTTTGTGTTAGAGGATACAATTATTTTACAGACCCTTATTTATTTTCTTTTATAGTAGTTCGTCAATGAGTTTTAAAGGTATAATGAAATGCTTTTGTTTGTCTGCCTCCAGCACATTTTCAAAAAGGTTTGTTTGGAATTGTAGTTTCTTAAAATATGATGTCAAAAGAAGTAGATCCTGTTAGATCAGCATCATTTCTGGAAAAAAAGTTTTTTTAAAAATTAATTTTCGTGTTTTTCCTATTTTAACCTCCATGCATTTAAGAAGGACTAGTTAATCAAAGAATATTTTTCGAATTTATCATTGACTACAATTTCATCTTATCAGTGCATTTAATCAAATCTAAGTTTTCCATTTGGAGTAAATTAGCTTGGGCAAGAGTTTAAACATCCTTATTCGCTTGAGGTGATTTAAAGACTGATATTGAAATATGATATGATAGGAAAAGACATGATCAAAAATAAGCTTGGGTATACCTAAATCGTTTAATACTTTTTAGTGAGTTTAGAGCTCGTGGCACTAACCTTTAAATATAACACAATACTTCAAGGCTGCGCGCAATTTCAAGGAATTAGTTATCCCATTCGATGATCTGT